TCTGAAAATTATTGCATAATTTTATTTCATTGTATCACATCAGGTTCCAGTTTTGCTCCATGTATCTCCTAATGCAATATAAGTGTATTTCAAATTGTTCTTTTTGATCACTGCAAACAGAAATAGAAGTGTCCTTTTAGTGATTCTTTGAATCCTCTTTAATATTATTTAAAATACTAGGGCACACATCCAGCTTTCTTTTCCTTGCTAAGTAATACATGTATGCCTGATGTTCTGCCCTGTAAATCACTTCAGTCGTGTCTGACGCATGTGTTCCAATAGTGGGTCAATTCTGTACCTTGCTTCTATTATTGCTTATTGAGGGAATCAATTAAGATCAGATTCCTCCCACTGTACTTAGAACAGGCCTGGACTGTCAGGGACACTCGCTTTATATTAGTAATTGCAGCCACCACTTAGCCTTTGCTGTGTGCCTCATGCTGTTATATACATGGAAATGTAGACTTTTCTCCGTAAACACGGCAAGGATGCCATGATATAAATAACGTTGTTGCCTCCACTTGTAGTTAGGGAAACGGAGGGCTGGAAAAGTGAAATACTTTCCCAACTTACCTAGTGTGAAGCAGAGCTGGATTCATGCCCAGAGCAGACAGGCAGTCCTTTCAAGGCCATGCTTACTCACTGCCAAGCTCACCAAGGCCATGTTTAACCACTGCCAAGCTAACCAAGTTGCATCTTGTGCTTAATTTATGTTTGATCTCACAGGAGGTGGGAGAAAATCTTTATTCCAAGGTCACATGTTGCAAAATTAATATTGTTCAATCAGTAATTTACAGGTAGACATTACTGATTTAAAAGGTGATCATTGTTTTGCTAAACAATTTACCTCTTAACACTGGAAATTACTAAAAAGTATCTTGCTAAATTTTGGACAGTATCTTCCACTTTCATCCTAAGTGAGTCTGTTCCTCATTTAATTCTACTGCTTGCTGATTCATTCTCAATTGTGTGCTTCACTCTGACCTCTATGTTCTTTTCTTCACACTCTTAAATCTGCATCAGGCATTCACAGTGCAGTAATGCAGAATTTCATCGATGGAGATAGGTTTTCACATGTCTTACAAGAATTGATGCTTTTGAACTGTGGTGCTGGAGAAGACTCTTGAGAGTCCCTTGAACAGCAAGGAGATCCAACCAGTCAATCCTAAAGGAAATCAGTCCTGAATATTCATTAGAAGGACTGATGTTGAAGCTGAAACTCCAGTACTTTGATGGGAAGAACTGACTCATTGGAAAAGACCCTGATGCTGGGAAAGATTGAAGGTAGGAGGAGAAGAGGACTATTGAGGATGAGATGGTTGGATGGCATCACCGACTCAATGGGCATGAGTTTGAGCAAGCTCTGGGAGTTGGTGATGGACAGGGAGGCCTGGTGTGCTGCAGTCCATGGGGTCACAAAGAGCTGGACATGACTGAGCAACTGAACTGAACTGAACTGATGACTGTTTCTGCCTTTCTGTGTAATGATCCATATTAACTATACACAAAATTATTTTTATGAAGCAAAATTTATTTCATCCAGAACTAAATCCTCTACAATTTAAAAACTTTCAAGCATCATTTTATGTTTGCAAGTTGTCTTTATTGTTTTGAGTGGCTTTTCAAAACCAGATCCTATAACACAGGCTGACTGTTTTTGCCAAGGGGCACCTGGAGTTAGAGGCAACATTGGCACTGAAATTCTGTGCTGTGAAATCACAACTCCCCCATCTGTTCCTTAATCCACCCAGCAGCACAGACGCCCAAAGGTTTAAATAAACAGGACAGGCAGATCATTATTAATGGGGTAAATTTCTCACTTATCTTTCCTCTTTGAATATGGCACATTGTCACTGATGTGCTATACTGTACTGTTGTATAAAAACATATGCAGCTAAACTACAACTGCATTAATTTTAGAAAATAGCTGGAAGTGAAATGCATAGCAGAATATGAGGCTGGAACAATATGCTAATTTGGCTAGTTGTTTGGCAGTGGAGAGACTGACAGGTTTTTTTTTTTTTTTTCAAATTCCTTATATAGATGTCATAGAAGACTAGCAGGCATTGGTATCTTTGGTTTCTTAAATTTTTCTTTGAATTAGTTGCTTACATTTAACTGTCTGGGTTTTTATTAAAAAACATTAAAAAACTGTCTGAATTTACAATGAAAAAGAGATTTGGAAAAAATCTAAAGAGAATATTATTTTTAGATTTTTTCCATATATATATATTCAGGTATATATCTGAAACTGGGGGCTTCCTCAGTGACTCAACAGATAAAGAGTCTGCCTGTAATGCAGGAGACTCGGGAAATGCAGGTTTGATCTCTGAGTCAGGAAGATCCCGTGGAGGAGGGGATGGCAACTCACTCAATACTCTTGCCTAGAGAATCCCATGGACAGAGGAGCCTGGCGGGCTACAGTCCATGGGGTCACAAAGAGTTGGACATGATTGAAGCACCTGAGCACAGCACAGCATACCTGAAACTAATACATTATACATCAATGATATTTCAATAAATTAAAAAAAATCAAAGTTACAGTCAAAATCTAACAAACAGATTTTTAGCATCTTTTCAATCATCAGGTCTGCTTTCAGTGGGTACCACACCCTACACGGCTATCAGTTGTCCCCACTGAACAGAGGATGAACCTCTAGTTCACCACTGTGGCCCTCACCTGCTTCACTGATTTACATTACCTGACTGATTTGTGTCAAAGATGAAATGTATGGCTTTGGAAGAACTTAATGGACTCTGAAAGGTATCACAGGAAATTTGAATCAACGCAATGAAATACAGTGAGTCTGATGACAGATGGACTCATTACAAAATCTCAATAAAATCCATTATGCAAAATGTTTAACCTGAGCTCAGATGACTAGATGGATATAAAAACATCATAATCCTGAAAGTCCTATGAGGTCTAGATTTGCCCAACTAAGATCACACATCACCCACATGTCATCCACACGCCACCCACATGCCATCCACACGTCACCCACACATCTTCTCTAAAACTATTAAAAACAAAATAAATTAAGAAACCATAGAGAACTTAGTCATTTAACATGTGAGTAAATTTTTTTTTTCCAATGAGACCTGAAAATCCTTGATGAAATATTTTAGCCTACTACTGAGTAATTTTAATTATTTTAATTATTCTGAGTCATTTCAATTATTACCTAAGGAAACTGTGGCTCAGAAGAATCTGCCTGCAGTGCAGGAGACCTGGGTTCCATCCCTGCATCAGGAAGATTCCCTGGAAAAGGGAAAGGCAACCCACTCCAGTGTCTCTGCCTGGAGAATCCCATGAACAGAGGAGCCTGGAAGACCACAGTCCATGAGGTCACAAAGAATCAAACATGACTGGGTGATTAACACACACACACAAGGAAACTGCAAAATGCATCCTTTTTTTTTGGCTGCACCATGTAGGGCATGTGGAATTTTAGTTCCATGACCTATGATCAAGTTCAGGTCCCCACCTTGGGAGCAGGAGTCTTAACCACTGGATCACCAGTGAAGTCCCATAATGCATCTATTAACAGAATCCCCTGGATCAATGGTGATGGGGTAAATACAGATTCCTCAGATGCTGTGACCAAGAAATAAACAAAAATTCCTACATTGAACTGCAAACCAGGTTATGCCCAGAGAGTTTCTCCAAGTAAATGATAGGAACAGTACAATAAAAAGAAATTTCCAAAAAAGAAAAATATTCACATTTGTTTATTTTTATACCATTTGTGAAATAAGAAATATTCCTAAGAGAGAAACTTCTGGAGTCTTCTGTAGAAACAATCCTGTCTTAAACCTCAATGTGATGCAAAACGGTCAGGATGGAATCGAATTTGACCTAATTATAAGAGTAGCTTTTCATCATGTTGGCACTGATTAAGGGCTTAGTTTACATTTAGGGAGTGCCCGCCTTTAAATGGCATGTACATTAACACATCCTACATTACTGACAGAAAAGCACAGTGTAATGCATTGTCAGGTGTTTTTACCCCATGCAAGAGCTAGCTCTGTGAGCAGTAATAACATAATTAAAGCCATTAATGTTTACTCCTCTGGGAAATACAGTTATTCACAGATATCAGAATCTTTCATGTTCTTCTATCTACTATACAATTTATATTTTGTTTCTTGCTTATGAGACTCTTCAGGAGTTATTTTCCTGTCACCCTAAAATAGAAATGTATCCTCTGGCAATGTTTTTAATATAGCTATTTGCAGTTAAATTGAATAAAAATGAATAATGTGTTTATTAAGAGTATCAGGAGCAGAGAGGCAACTTTTCTCATTATGTTATATTACTGTTTCTGCTGAGATACAATATATTAATAATTTTATAGCATAAATAGTAGATTAAGCTTTGAAAAGTCATAACATCCACTGAAACATACCTGGACCAGAAATTGTTTCACATAGTGGCAATAATTTTTGTAAATCAATGTGAAGCATAAATAGGTACAAACTTCTAGAATTTTATTTTCCTGGGAAGTGTTTTCATTTTTTTTAACTTAAATATATTTTTATGTTGATATTGTAATATTGCTATAAATATTATATAAATACACTCTCCAATATACCTACAGGGTCCTTAACCAAATAATACACCTAATACAAAAGTAGCAAAGATAAAGAAATCATTTTATACTATTTCCTTAACATCGCTTACACCACATACTCTATTTTGAAGGACAAATAAGCTTAAATATTAACGGACAGTAATGACTTACAAATTTTTTAGGGTTCCTATACCAGGCACCGGTTTAAAATCTTTGTATCACCTCATTAAATCTTCACACCTTATTCATATTAACTTCTTTTGACAGAAGGGGAAAGTGGAGCCCAGAAAGTTTAAGTAACTTGCCAGGAATAAACTGGCTAGTAAGTGTTGGGGCCAAGATATTAATACAAAGTTGCACGTTTTGACTCTAGTGCTGAACTTAGTAGTACTGACTTTTCCTTGCTATTCTCTCTCTTAAATTTAGAGCTTCTCCCTTTTCAAAGTTGTGGTCATTCAAGTGCTATCTACAAGTTTTTTGAACTCCCTGCTACCTCTTCATTGCTTCTGAAACAATATTGCAAAGTAGATTTTTTTTTTCTTTTGAAGTCTACATTTTCAGGGCTTCCCTGGTGGTTCAGTAGTAAAGAATCCACCTGCAAACGCAGGAGACATGTTCCATCCCTGATTTTGGACAATCCCATGTGCCTCGGAGCAACTAAGCCGTGTGCCACAATTGCTGAGCCTGTGATCTGGAGCCCCAGAATTGCAGCTACTGAGTCACATGCTGCAAATGCTGAAGCCCAAGTGCCCTAGAGCCTGTGCAACAAAAGAAGCTGCCACAATGAGAAGCCTGCAAACTGCACGGAGAGAGCAGCCCCTGCTGGATGTGGCTAGAGACTGAGCCCGCAGAGCACCAAAGACCCAGCAGATCCAGAAACAGAACAGACCAGTAAATAAAAGTATTTTAAAAAGTAAAGTCTGTGTTCAGACACCAGGCTTGCCACTTACACTGTACACATGTAGACTTGTCTTCTATACTCTCTAAACTTCCGTCTCCTCATCTGTAAAGTAGTAGCTATTTCAGAGATCTGTCTGGATGATTAAACATGGAACACATGTAAAGCAGTTAGCTAAGTGCCCGGCTCATCGCCAGCACTTGATAAGCATTGACTATTAAGATTATTATGGCTTTATTTAAACAAAAGGTGGACCTGTATAATCATCTGCTAAGGAGGAAAGAGATGCTTTTCTTACAGCATCAAGCTAAACACAATTTTGTATTTGATACAAAGCTGTGCTGGTTTTGGTCTGAGTTATTTTTATTGGATCACTAAAAGGGAGGGTCTTTTGACAATGTTCATGGATAAGCTTTGTAAAATAACTGATGATCTCTCTATTGGAGTTGCAAATCTTTCTGATAGGTTAGGAATACAAATTAAATAATGGGAAAGTATCTGTGCCTTTCAAACAAAAATTTAAATGATACTTTCTAATAGTATATTGAACAAATGACAGTGAATCAGAAAGATATGTAAAAACCAAAGTTCTGGAATGGATAAAGAAGATATACAGATATACAATGGAACATTACTCTGCTATAAAAAAGAATGAAATTGTGCCATTTGCAGAGGCATGGAAGGACCCCGCGTCTGTTATACAGAGTAAATTTTTTTCAGAAAGAGTAAAACAAATACAGTCTATTAATACATACAGGTAGAATCTAGAAAAAATGGTATAGATGAACTCATTTGCAAAGCAGAAACAGAGACACAGAGTAGAGAACAAACATACAGATGCCAAGGAGGGAAGAGGGGGACAGGGATGGATCGGGAGGTTGGGATTGCCCTGTGCACACTGCCATGTACAGAATAGATGACTCACAAGAACCGGCTGTGTGGTACAGGCAACTCTACTCAATATTCAGTGGTGACCTAAACACGAAGGAAGTGCAAGGAAGAGGGGATATATGTATACGTGTGGCTGATTCATTTTGCTCTACAGCAAAAAGCTGACATAGCATCAAACAACTATATTCCAACAACAACAAAAAAAAGAAAGTTCTAGTGCCCTTATTGCCTTCAGCAGCCTTGATTAAAACAATAAGCAATTATGATGATGATGATGATGATGATGATGATGTCTGGAAATTCTTTTCTTTCTTTTTTATTTTTTTCCATTTATTTTTATTAGTTGGAGGCTAATTACTTTATAATATTGTAGTGTTTTTTGCCATACATTGACATGAATCAGCCATGGATTTACATGTGTTCCCCATCCTGATTCCCCTTCCCACCTCCCTCGCCATCCGATCCCTCTGGGTCTTTCCAGTGCACCAGCCCCAAGCACTTGTCTCATGCATCCAACCTGGGCTGGTGATCTGTTTCACCCTAGATAATATACATGTTTCGATGCTGTTCTCTTGAAACATCCCACCCTCGCCTTCTCCCA